TCAACGACGTGAACCCACAAAACGAAATACTCTATATACCGAGCTAATCTCTAATTACTGTACAATATGATGATGAACAGCCAAAATCAAAACTACGTCCATGTCAAAAAAAAATGCATCACACACAACGCAGAACTTGTAATCTTTTACGTTTGAATCCCCCCGTTTATACTCAAACATTTACTATTACATTTTTGCTTAGAAGAATACGAGACTCAGGACAGCTAATCTTTGCATGTAAAATTAATGTTTTCCATCCAAGGAATGAACGCGCCGCCAGATCAGAATGATTAGTTGTGAAAATTATTAATGTGGTTACGATAAAAATCTAATACAATTCATTGGTGTTAGTAAAGGTGCAAAATCGACTTGTGCTGAAACGTTAAGACATCCGTAACACGAAAGAGGCGACAGCCAACTGAAACCTGTCAGTGAAACCTGTCAGTTAACAGGAACCATTACATGCTTTGCCTCCACTGGTTTAATAATAATAATAATAAGGAATACTGTCACTAGCCCAACGAAAAAATATAAAAGAAATTGAACAAACTAAATACATAGAGGATCACCGGTAATAAGGTGCGAGTCAGAGTGTCATCTACTCTCAGTTGACTTACATGTAATTTTGGTTCAACGCGAAAGAAAAACCAGAGACAGAGTTGCGAATGCAGCGATGCATTTCTTTAGATAAACGAAATCAATAAAAGCAAGTGTGAAGGTAAACGAAACTTTATACATAGCAAAAATGAATAATAAAAGATAGCTCTATAGAAGCAAGCTATTGCTAGGAGCTAGATGCACAATTATACATATAAAAGATAGATAAAAGATGATATAAAAGATTACATAAAAGTCGAAAATAAAAGGCGACAGTACAACGAATTTGAATGAATATTCAAGTGCTGAAGTATTAGAAATTTTTATAGGTATAATTAAAAAACGGAAATGGTATGTACAAAACTGAATAAATTAGTGAAAATTCAATGTCCCATAATGAAAATTTAATGAATACAGTCATTACAGTGCAATGCAGTGATGGAGGGACAAGTTAATAATTATCAGAAAATAGCAGGAAAACAAACTATTAGTGCAAGCAGAAGAAAACGAAAAAAATCCTTAAAATAAGTTCCAGACAAATAAGAGTAAATAAGACCACGAAACTGGTGCGATTAACATGGGCTACCCGCGTGTTCTTAGCAACAACGAACGCCAGCCACTGGACGCGAGCGACCGTCAACACAACATTGCCCTGAACCATGTGAAAAAAAAAACGATTCAAGGACAGTTTCTTAGGCAACGACGGTGACAATTGTAAGAAGTGTATTCTGCAAGTGAAGAATTCATGAAATGGACGCAATAATGCAGTGCAATTGCTAACGATGGAAAAACAGATGGAGCAACACTATGACTGATAAGGAGACGCTGGAACGGCACCACACTAGGTGTGATAATATGAGCGGTCGCTAAAACAAATGACGTAAAGCTAGGTGGGATATGGAGACACTGAAACAGATGGCACAATACTAGGGTTCATAAGGAGTCATTAAAACAGGTGAAACAATACTAGCAGCGATAAGGAGTCACTAAAACAGATAGCGCGACACTAGCAGCGATAAGGAGACATGTGCAGAAGGGCTACCAACCTTTACGAGGACGCCACCAATCGTCAAAGTATCCTGGATTAGCAGCATTGAGAAGAGAAAAACACAAATTGAATAATTCCAGCAGTCAATAATTCAGCTAAGAGTATTCACAAACACAGACAGCTGTAATCAGATTAATCAAGGATAATTGAAGGCAGTCAGCAATGGATTAACCAAAACCAATGAAAGATCTTAAGATTGTAGAGAACGGACAAAGGCTACCGAAAAACAGGACAAAAACAAAGCAAATGATGAGAGGTAATCAATTAATCTAATAGCTGGAAATAAAAGTACTCAAGGCGGCGAAAAAACCATCAACACACACACACATACGAGATGAACATAAAAGGTGAGTGAAAACAGGAACCATAAGAGACCAAACAGGTGAATAATGCAAGATGGTTTGCTCAAGCTAAAGTTAATCAAAGCTTCAAAGCAGAAAATTAGCAGCAAATCTGCCACACAAACACCAGTCACAGCAGACGTGCATCAACGTTTAATACAAACACAATTATACAGAACACAAAAATAAATACATTCCCGTCTGATCTCGATCCGATATTCGAAATTCCGACAAATTTCGCAAGGATCTGGTAATTTAATTTAATATTATCTGACTATGACATTTCAGGTCCCACTGACTAGTTCAGATAATTACAAATATTACAGTGCTGTCTCTACAGTTTGAATTATGTTAAAATCAGAGTAGTAACTCGATCAAAACAATGAAGTTATTTGTAGTTTCATTCAAGTGCATGTATCAAATAAGAATTCTAGTTATAAATAAGGATCATTACGAATGCAAACAAAAAGTACTGATAAAAAGTTATCCTAGAATACTAACACAAGTATATTTGAACAACATGTTATAAAAGAGATGGCAAACCATTAGTCGAGGTAAAAACGAGCTGAAGAATTTTATTTTCAATAAAATTTAAAAAATTTGATCTAGCAAATAGTTACGGTACAATTAGCGAGCTCAGTAGGTTAGGTTACTGAGCGAGCAGTGAAGTTATAGTTGCTTGTACACTAGGACAGGAGTGGCGGCCATTACAACTTTTAAATACTAACCGTCACTTTTTAATTTGATTTTAGTAGCGCCTATTGAAGCTATTGGCCACGAAAAACACAGTAACCCATCACTCAGAAAAAAATTGTGGTTATGCTGTGCAAATGGTGACACACTTTCTGCATGCGAGCTGAGAGCGGACGTAGCACTAATACGCTTTTTTGCCTGACCAAACTTAGACAGAATGATCCAAACAAAGGCAAAAAGTGGTTCACTATTCGGAAAAAGCCTCTCCATTTCTCCAAGTATTTGCATGAAGCCAGTAGACAGGTAATTAATTAATGACGGTTAGTACTCGCACGTTGTACTGGCGGCCACTACTGTCATGTACAAGCAATACCCTCAGGAGTGTAGCAAGTTGTACTAGCGGCCACTACTGTCCGCATGTACAAGCAAGACCCTCAAGAGTGTAGCAAGTTGTACTGGCGGCCACTACTGTCCGCATGTACAAGCAATACCCTCAGGAGTGTAGAAAGTTGTACAGGCGGCCACTACTGTCCGCATGTACAAGCAAGAGCCTCAAGAATGTATCACGTTGTACTGGCGGCCACTACTGTCCTCGTGTACAAGCAAAGTGTAGCAAGTTGTACTGGCGGCCACTACTGTCCGCATGTACAAGCAATACCCTCAAGAGTGTAGCAAGTTGTACTGGCGGCCACTACAGTCCGCATGTACAAGCAAGACCGTCAAGAGTGTTGCAAGTTGTACTAGCGGCCACTACAGTCCGCGTGTACAAGCAAGCCCCTCAAGAGTGTTGCAAGGTGTACAGGCGGCCACTACTGTCCGCATGTACAAGCAAGACCCTCAAGAATGTATCAAGTTGTACTGGCGGCCACTACAGTCCTCGTGTACAAGCAAGAGACTCAAGAGTGTAAGGCGTGCAGTTTTGCCCACCGTGTTCTGCAGTGGTGCCGGTGGTCTGGACGCCGCGGGTGTAGGTGACGGTCTCCTTAGGAGGGATGTTCGTCGACTGCACAGACACCATCGACAGCACCGGCCGCCGCCTGTACGCAAAATTATTATCAGTATTGCACACTCTGTATTATACACTTTGTACAATAGTACTCATCAATATACCAATTCTCTTCATTATAAAAATGCTCCTCAGTACAACAATACTCCTCGGTAGAAGAATACTGACAAATTAATTACCGTACATTGAACCTTAACTTCAATGTGCTCTATCTACGCATAGGTATATGGTGTCTAACAGCAAAGTTCACCGCAGTAAAGAAAATTTCTTGGTGAATTACTAATATCAAATATTGCAGCGTTCGATGAGTGATGAACTGTAACGAAATGAATCCAAATGAAGGTTTTAAGAAGTAGTATCTCCGTGACAGATTGAATAAAGCAAAAAATATTAATTTTTTAACCTAAAAGTTATTGGAAATAAACTTTATAACAAATACCAAACATGTAAAATTTAACGTTCAGGGAAATACTTCAGAAATGCATCAATACGGTATGTCATTCACGCAAATTATTTTCACTTTTATGAAATTTATTAGGTGACAGGAGTGTGTAATGACCTGCCAGATCTGAGCCTGTCAGCACTGCCATCTGTACTGTCAGGAGCAACGGAAGAACTGCTGTCAGCGGCCGCTATGGTCGCCGTATCAGACGAGACAGACGACAGCGATGATAGAACCTCTGAAAATATTATACATATCTTTACTTTTAATGCATTGTTTTTCCATCACAGTTTATAGATTTCATGTTTGTACTGCATAATAGCCACGTAAAAAGACTTGTGTTATTTTATTTATAACAGTTCCTTCTAACTTCCATCCATGTGAAAAAAAATTAAATTTTTGAACGTGCAGTAGCTCGAAATGTTGCAACACGAATACCGTCACCGGCCCTCAACATACACGGATGTAGACACCAGGAAATTTTATGAATAAATTAATACGGAACTGCGACCAAGACGGAATTTAGCCTTTTGCGTTTACAATCTATTTGCTTGTAACAAAAAAATTTAAGTGCATATGATAAGTGATGCTATGTCGTTAAGCAGGCACAGGTATAATAATTTTCACATCCGTACTAAAAAATAACCAGTAACATGTATTTGTAATAGCACTATGATTAATGGACCAGTTAAAGCCGTATAAGCGAACATGGACCCGAAATAGCTCGATTGAATATCACGACTATGTGATAGAAAATAACCAACTTTTTATAATCCTAGAGAACCCATCAAGATATCCATAAAATGATGTTCTTTAAAGATCATCCCCATATTAAATGTCATTTTTAAGCCTTTATTCGATCTCATGTTAAACTCAAACTTTAATGCCGTATTTGATGACAGCAGCTGAAAACGGAGAAACAACAAAAAAACTCGTAGTATGAAGTAACAAACATAAAATAAAACGAAGTATTGTGATCTGGGTTGATTAGTCGGCGGCAAAGAGACACTCAGCCAGCTCACCGCACAAAGTTTTAATCCATGTTCAATTCAATGGAAAAAGTTATAGAGTTGAGTTAGTTAGATCTTTCAGTATACGAAAGGTAACGATCATGAACGATTATTTATGTTACTTCAGAGAGAGCTTTGCAAACTCCACATGCAAAAAAAATCTAATTTCACACTTCCGACTGTCACCAAGACTGAAATTGAAATAAATTCGCTTTTGCGTTCCACAATTTTTGAACGAAGTCTCCAAACGAATTAAAGAAAGAGAGCAAAACTGACAATTAGAAGGAATGCAGGCTTTTGCATCATCACGAAAAAATCGTTAGGAGGGAACATCAAAAACCACCTGGTATTTTCGAAGCAACTGTGTGACCTGCAACAAAGAAATTCGTCAAGCACGAAACACCAATTATATATGCACTTACAACAGAGAAAACGTTGCTTTATTTTTCTGAAAATTGTGCATGATTTAGAAGCGGCAGAGCATAAATGCAGCTACGACACATACAATTCAGCCTCGTGAATTTACATTTACTTTAATATCGATAAATGTAAAAAATCTCGGCCAGCTGTTACCTTCATCAGCACATTAGATTATAAGATTATGAAAATTCTCCCACCAATCAGTAGTGTAGTTCCCCCACCAATTTCGTACTCAATACATTTAAAAATATTAAATTTTCCAATGCCGTAATGATACAATTTATAAAAAACCGCGCCAAAATAAGAGTGATTACAACGGTTCTATATAGAGCTAATTTATTCATTAGATGACACTAATGTATGCATCAGATATACTAACATATCACCAGAGACAAGATTCTACATCTAATAGAAATAGGTACTGCAGCTTATAAATAATGTAATATCAAGAGATGACAAGATTTTGTCCAGGTCTTGCTGGCTCTCCCTGCCCGGCGCGGTGAGACCACGCGCGCTGTCGCTGGCCTGGGCACATGGAAATCTCTTACAAAAGTCGTATCATGTACACATGTAGTTATGCTCAGCGAGAAAATTAGGATTTCTCAGCGACATGCTTTCTGTATTCATGCATCATGAAGTCCTGATAGCTTAAATGATGAATATTGAAAATTTGAGTTTTTTTAATTGTAATTCACCATACATAAAAACAAACATAACTGAGTTAAAGCAATCAAAGTTTATATCGTAATTTTCGAAAAAGCAAAACAATAGAGTGAGACGTGCATAGGAAAAACAATATTACTTGACATGTATACATCAGACCCACATGCAGGGTGGAAAAAGACGAAGTCGAGTGATCGAATGAAGAACGCGCATAGGGTGAAAAAGACCCAAATTATCGTAAAGTTGATAATACGACTTTTTGTTCATCGAATAGATTATGAATCGGATAGTGTAATTCATTTGCAATTTCTTTATATATTTATTCGAAAACAGGTGCTGTATCTGTACTGTTAATGTGGTGCTCTGCACACATGCATCACACACTTGAACATCAGCGTTCGATATCCTGAGCAAAGGAATGAGCGGGAACGGCACACACATACGGTGTATATATAAGCTGAGAGCTCAGCAAGAATTTTGAAAATTTTGAAAAGAAAAGTGCCTGTAAGAATTTTCAATTATGGAAGGCATCCGCAAGACAACAATGAATTTTCAATAATAATCTTGATAAAACCGCTCGTAAGGTGAGCTACCATCACAAAACAATAAGCATAAGTTAAGACCAATTACTATATAATATGGAAGAGTCAAAAGAGTTTTGAACAAAATATTAATTTATATCATCGGTCATCGATTGGTACAGACCAATTAGAACTACCGATCAATTAGCTACCGGTCAGCAATGAGGCAGTAGAGGATGATAATAGTAAAGTTGATATAGTATAGTATAATATATATTGTTAATATAGTATGATAATAGTAAAGTTGATATAGTATAGTACAGTATAATATATATAGTTAATATAGTATGATAATTTAGTATAGTTAAACCTTCAACCTCACGACGTTGAGATCGAGAAAACGCACTTGTAACCCCATTCAAGTAAATTCAAAGAACGTTGAATCGAGTTTCACGGAATTCTATTATACGAATTCAATGTAAACGTATTACCTACTAATGATATGATTTCTTGACTACCTTCCTGAGCTCCCGTTGCTGAGCGCGCATTTCTCTGGCAGCTCGCATACTCTTAAGCTTTGCAAGCTTGTTTTCTTTCTCCTTCTTCCACTGCAGTGTAATGGCAGCAAGCCGTGAAGGAGGTGGGGACCTGAGTAGAGCAGCATACAAGGGAAGTCCATCCCCACACTCATGCACCATAGTGCTACCGCCTCCTGAACACTGACGTTCTTCAACACTGCACTGCTGTGCTGCGTAGTCAGTTGCGCGAACTGGGGCGGCAGAGTCGCACGTCGAGAGGTTTCGAAATGCCGTCGTCACAGGGAGTATAGACGGTGTTGCAGATGTATGGGCCGGTTCTGTCATTGCGGTGAAGAGTTAAGAGGAGTTCTGTGTCTTCTCTGTGTCATGATGTGCTCGATAATTGATACTTAGGATGCTAGTTACAAATATAGCAACGGCCGGTCACTGATGAAGCTTAGTGAAGTATGAAGCTTAGTGAAGTTACTGAAGACATTGACGCACCGTGCACTTTAGACTCGTGTATCACAGTTAAATCACAGTGTCAGGTTAAAAGCGAGCACCAAGACAATCAATATGCCTAATAAGTAGATAAAAGGACTTCGATACACACTAAAATAAAATCAAAATAACTTAGTAAATCTTTGATTTTGATCAATGTGAATAATTCGAGGTAGTCTGCCTGCCTGCATCTTCTAATACGAAACAAAACAACCAGCATTTTGATCAGCAAAGACCTTACTTCTGGCCAAGATCGTTAACAAAGTTTCAGTACGTGGCAATAAAACAAACATGTGCATATTTCGACAGTGAGAAATTATGTAGATAACTACTATCTATAGAAGAGATGACATTAGAAGCAGAAAAAAACAGCACGAATAAGAACGCAACGAAGAAGACTCGAAGCAAAAATGATCACTCGCTTTTCAAGGTAAAATCAAGATCAAAACGGCAAGTTCACAAGTTCCAAATAACGAACGGTAGCAAAAAGTCATCAAAATATAGAAACACACACCGGTCTATCACATTAGGCACACAAGTGTGTGATCATTTCAGTGCTCACTGGAACGTGACTAGACACAGAACACGTGTAGCTGAGTCACCGATACTGGGCTGAACTAGCAGCAGTGCGAGCAAGACTAAGCCTGTTAGTCGCATGCAGCGCCAACAGTGGCTCTAAGAACTTTCGCACACACCAACAAGATAACGACGCTCTAGATAACAAGCGATTGTGCAGTTACTTGTAATTATTATGCGCATTACAAAGTACCACCTAGCAATGAATTGGGCAGGTTAATTAGGCGACACACGCTATTCTTGAAGAAATTCATTATCTTTTTAGCGCAATTTCTCATTTATAGAAAAAGGGCGCTATTATGCTCGCCATGTCCGTCTGTCTGTCTATCCGTCTGTGTCTTTACGTTTTCGTCGACGAGAAAATGCGCTCTCTGACTCTCTGTCACTCACTGCAGTGAGTACAGACTACAGAGTTATATTTTTTTCTTCATACAGCATTTACAGCATACCTCCTTCAGCACTGGCGTGCATGACTAAGGCAAACGCACCATCAAGGTCAAGGTCGAACATACTGGTACTTCATTTGCACGGCATCACGCAATAGAAGCGATCGAACAGGCTGTTTAGTCGAGAAATTTTAAAATCCAAACCAACTAACAGCGACTCCAGCAACAACATTGCAAAGGAAACAAACGTTGGTGGCTAGTATGATTTTGACGACCAGCAACTAGTGTAGCGCCAAGCAGGACGGAACTACTCAACATCGACACTATAAAGCGCTGTGGTGCTCTAGCTCAGCTGCACTCGGTTCTACTGCACTACACTTCCTCTCTTTATTGCTCTTAGATTTAAGTTGCCTCATCACATATATACCGCAATAACTAATATTTATTAAAGACGTTCTCATTGTAAGCCGAAATGTTCACAATTGGTAACCTGACGTTGAAGTTTAATTATTCCGTTTATTCGTAATTTCATATAGCTAGTTCGCTAAGTTAATGGATCACATCTTTCAACTGATTAAACCGTAATTAAATGTGAGTTTTAACTTCCAGTTCCGGCCACGATTATCCAAACGTGCATTTTCAACTTCCGGCCACGAACTTCAACCGAGATGAAATAAAAACGTCCTGTGAGGGCTGCGTGCACACCGCAAACCACGAAACAAAGGCATGCTTACCAGTGCTTCCATCAACAACTGCATTTCGCTCAATAGAATTGAATTACGTCACGAGAACAAAAGTACATTTTCGGACTTTACATCCAATTTCTCCTGTGTTACAGGGAATAGTAAGGAAGCAGAGCGGTAGCAGGAAGTGGGGACTAGACACAACACATGTCGACCAGGTCAGAGCTAAAAACAATCTCCACCCTACAGACTCACGACTTCTAACATCAACTATTTGCCTCACTTCCTCCGTCTGAATCGTGACCACTTTAATCGTTTAGTATTTCATTTTCTTCAAGGAAAAGCGACCAAAACGAGAGTCCAGATGAGAAACAACATCATCACGGTGAGAAGTAACGGTTATGTGCCGCAAAGTCATGCTGAAGAGCTGCGCACCAGCATGCCCTCACACCATCACCGCCTGACAACAACTGCCAGGTTAAAACTTAAAATGCTGATAGTCTCGTCAGTCGTCACTCTTGTGTCTTTTCGTCTAAACTCTAGTCATCTCTCCCTTGAGAACCTATAAAATGGTTCATAAAAATGAAGTATGCTCGAATGCTTACCGTTACTTGTAAGCATGAAACTTACAAGTAACGTGAGTTAAGAGTTAAGTCTCACATTACAATGATTATGTGAGATTTTGAAAATCTCACATAAAAGTTGCACACATGTGTTGGCTTAAAAACGTGATTGACAGAATTTGCATATCTCATTATAAAAAAAATGGCAGTCATTTCCACAAACAAATATTATGAACAATCTATTTTTAACATTCAAGGTTGTTGCTATGAAGCAATTGTTGGCCGGAAGCGCAGCCTTTTACAGAGGCCATCACTATAAAACCTCCATTGCGTGAAATTAATAAAAAACATTATAAATAAAAAAACATAATTATTACACAGTTCTATCCACGAGCAACAGCGAGCGACATGTTCAGTTTAAGATTCAGATCAAAACACAAAGAACTAGGCACGTATAGAAAGAACGTTCTAGGGAGCATATTTCCACGAAACCCTGAAAAAGAACATTGATAATAAAGCCTTTAGCGAACCAAACTAGCTACGCACGACTGTCGCTTACAATGACCGCAACGCCGCGACGCCGGTTCCGAGAGTGACAAGTACGTGACCGCATCTTACACTCAGAAAAATCTAAATAATTTTGTCAAATAGTTAAGCACTTCTTTCTCTTGTGTGGGACATCCTGACCCAGCTTTGCCCGGCGACAAGACGTATCAGTGCTACGCGAAGAAAGTGTCACACTCTGACAATAATTGTTCTTCTTTTTCTTTATTTTCTATTAATGAAATTTTTTTCGGAGTATAGTGTTTCAGAGCGTTGTACGAAATGTACTTGCATAGCAAAATATATGAGCGCACACAATTTGACAATGATTTGGCTCGTACCCTATAACAATCTAATTTCAAAATGACAGCTAAGGATTCTGGAAGTGAAGCCGTCGCACAAAGAATAGTTGGATGCTTTGCAATATAATTCCCTTTAACAAAAACGCGCTGCAATGATACTGATGAGATTAGGCATTTTAAGAAAAACTCTCAAAAGAACATTGTATTCGTGTCCAACACTGACAGAATGCAACATTACTTTATCTGTTCATTATAACAAAGGGAAGAAGTCCTAAAAATCTATTGAAGATTACAATTTGTGAGTAATGATGAGCATTGAGAGTGAATGAGTCCAGTAACAAACGGCGGGTGGAGATTCTGCAATATAAAAAAAACACCCTTGATCTAGAGATAGCCACCCTTGCAAGCAGTAGTGCTTAATTGTTCTAGTGTTCAAGATAAAATAAGAACAAAGAAAGAGTAATTGAGAAGCATCATACAAGGCATTAAAAGTTTCCATGACTTTGTAATTCTATGTATTACTCTCAGTGCCTTATGACAATTTTAAATCTATGCTAGTGATGAGGGTGAGAATGACAACTCTAACTTGACACAAGCATGTTATTGGGTAAATAATAATAATAAATAATAATACTAATATAATAATAATTAATTGCTCCGTATTTTGAGCTAAGTCAGTTGCATAGCATAACATTTAGAACAGCAAGCCCATACTGACAACAGCTTTAAGGGAAGCCATAGGGAAGCAGTTATAACGCCAAATGAACCTATTCATGAACTCCCCACACAAACAAGCACTCAACATTTTCAACAGGACACCCACAATGTGTGCAACTTTTTATTTAAATAAAATTTTCAGGGAATTTAACTCTTGTCAGACTGCATCACACCGACAATGATTAAACAATGAAAATTGTGAGGAACTGGATAACTAGACAAGCATGCAAATACAAATGCCCAAACTTCAACAATAAAGCATAAAGGGAAAAATATTGACATTATTGTCAAGTTTAATCAACATGCTTCACTTAATTTGAAACCAAGCACTAATTATGAATGCAGAAAATTCTTGTGCGTATAAGTAAAAAGTTTTGCAATAAAACAGTAGTTTAAATGAAAAAAATTCACAAGTCAAATAGGCAATTATAAACATTTTTGTTTGGTTACTGACACTTGTTGAGATTCATCAAAACTATCATCAATCATCAGTTGTGAATGGTTTGTACCATTTTAAACATGAAGTGCAACAGAATTGCACCATTGAGAATAATAATAGTCACTGAATTGCATGTAAAGCTTAAACTAAGAAAATTATTATGTCTAAAAATCTTTATATAATGCAAGGCAGAAATCACCTTTGATGACAAATGAGAAGGACCTTAGGTTGAATGTACTCCTAAAGAAAAATTCAATGCATCAATAAATGCAAAAAGCACATCAGCATTGAAATAATGAAAAAAAATAACAATGATTCTAACAGTTCAACTTGCACTCTTCATTAACATGGGAGTAAAAACAAAACAACATCTTGACAACAACTAGTTGAATTCTCACAGAATTGTAAGAAAATACATGCAGAAGTTGTTTGTACATACCCGGCCCATGAGCTTCTAAAGAAGAAAAAACACGCTTGAAATTACTCTTGTTAGAAAATGCAAGTTAAGCCAATTAAGGCATGCTGCCTATGTACAACTTCAGTAAAATTTGAAATTCATGACCAGAATACAGAAAAATCACACACTACAGAACCCCATATACAAGGGAAATTTCTTAAACATAACAATTCAAACCCCAGTATGGAATTTACATACAGGGTGTACCAGAATTAACTGACCCTTTTAATTTGTTAATAAATAAAAATTAAGAACGTTATGAAGTTGAAACTTGTTTTATTTAAAAGAAGAACATTTTTATGGTAATATTGTATCATAGTTACATCATTATCCTGTATAGCTTGCTAAATTTGTGTTTAATTATCAAGCCTTAAATTTTCATCATGATTCGCTACAGCAAAGAAGAAAGAACAAAAATTATCGCTACAGTCAATAACGATGTCAATAACAGAAGTTCAACGTGATTACAGGATCCATTTCAAAACAAGGATCCTTCAAAAAACACATTTAAATATCTTTATCGAAAATTTGCGGATATCAAAAATTTGCACTCTCGTCAGAAACACTAATGAAGGTTATGAAAGCAACGAAGAGAAGAGCCCTATTTTGTCAAAACAATTGTGGTGGGCATTTAAAAGATATTATATTTAAAAACTAGGATACAATATTACCATAAAAATGTTCTTCTTTTAAATAAAACAAGTTTCAACTTCAAAACGTTCTTGGTTTTTTATTTATTAACAAATTAAAAGGGTCAGTTAATTCTGGTACACCCTGTACATGCAGTAAGTTGCTATAATTGCCACTGTTTTGAGGCTTGAACAACCATATCTGCAGATATTTTTATCCAGTAGATACCATCACACGGGTTAATAAAGGACAGGCAACGTAAATCGGGACAGTTGTCCCACATTTTGTAGAAATGTTGTAGCAGCTAAACTAATCAAAATATTGCAAAACTAAAAGTAGTGGCATAAAGTTCAAAATTTTCCAATCTATGTAGCATAAAGCAAGTTACAAAATTTAAGAAATCATACATTTCCTATAGTCAGATGGGGTAAGACGGGATCACAGCCTTCATGGGGTAAGAAAGGACTGGCCTATGGCATGCATAGTGCATACTGATTGCACTGAGTTCAATTTGATATAAGAATCTGTTAGAACAACTATTTCCTGTCATTTCAGTGTGTTTCAACAATGTACCGTACTGCAAATAATGAATTCTAGGCAATTTTTTTAAAACCTATGTGGAGATAGGTCAAAAAATAGTTAACCTCATTTGGGAAATAAACTTTGACTAATAACCAGAACTTTGTCCATACCAGACTTTCATACCAGTTACCCTAACTGCCTGATGTGCATTCTAAAATGGGGTAAAAAAGACTGGACATGGGGTAAGATGGGACCACCAAATGGTTCAGTTTCATCCCACAAGTGGCCCTGTCTTACCCCCAAATGGAATGGTCCTATCTTGCCTCATAGAATAAAGTTATTCAACAGACATATATAGGGAGTATTAAAAAAAATTTTATCTGCTGCTCAAATTAACAAATTTTTATGTTCATAAAGTAACTTTGTGGAGGCCAAAACAAGGCTCATATACGCATGCAGTGTTACTCATCACCTTCCTTTCCACAGGAATAAAGAGCTATACATTTTAAACAACAACAAACAAAAGAATACAATAACAAAGTGAAACAATAACAAATGACTCATCTAGCATTTCTAGCTGGACCTGGGACAGCAGAAGGCAGAAGGCATTGAATATGTGCTGTTTGGCCCGGTATGCCCAAATTTCATAGATAAAATTTTTCAGTTTCCTGATGTAGAGGCAACAGCCCTTCTTCAAAAAATCAAAGAAAAAAGGTTGCACCAAGATTAGACCAACAGCCATGGACTTGGTAATGGACTGACTGAAGGACTTGGTAAAGAAATACATATATTTATGGTGACAGACAAAGGCCTGCATTAAATTATAATAAACTGTAAGCACCATTTTTTTATTTAAAAAGCTTAATTTCTTTGTGGTATCATAATTTAATATGTTTCTAGATGAATAATATTAAATATCAAGTCCTTAATTCGATTAAAAACCTAGAAATCATGAAGTTAGAGGCTGGTCCTGTCTTACCCCAACACGGTCCCATCTTACCCCAGCGGGGTAAGATGGGACCAGCCCACTTTTTTGGCTTTGTACAAAAAAGGGTTCAATATTCAAAAAGTCTAAGGTGGGGATAGAAGTCCATTGCACCAACATACCATTTGGTATGTTCAAGGTTTTTCATTTATCCATAGTATAGGTGCTACATGCTTGTTAGTGATTTTGGTCCTGTCTCCTCCATCTAACTATATACAATACCTCTAAAAAAGTGTGTAAAGTGAGATTTTGGAAACGTAGGTACCTCTGCTAAGGTCTGTAATAAAAAAAATATTTGCTGTATCAAAAAATTTTACTCACATAAAAGTTGCACACAGGTGTTGGCTTAAAAACGTGATTGACAGAATTTGCATATCTCATCATAAAAAAAATGGCAGTCATTTCCACAAGACAGGGTAATAAGGGATATCCCCCAGCCTGGGGTAATAAGGGACACCCCTAAAAACGCATTTACAGTAGAACCATGATAAGCAAAGGCTCCAGTTAACAAAAAAATCAATTGACTACAACAAATTTGATTCTATTGTTCTATTCACCTCACTCGGCAAAAAAAATCACTTGACAAAAAATGAATGCATCATCAGTCATCACAAAACTGTGCACAGAATGTCAGATAGAATTGTGCACTGGGCATCATAAAATGAAAAGAAATTAACCTAAACTATGATTTTTGTCTCCAAAAAATATGATGGTTTTCACTAGAATATTCCTTTCTGTTTCAGGTATGTTTTTATGATTGTTTTTTGTTATAGTGAATTCACTTGACCCAATTAAAATGGTGTGAAATTACAAGCCATCCTGTAACTTACAGATACAGTAAAGTGCTATATGGCTACTGATATGAAGCTTACAGTGGACAAGGTCATTGTAAATGCTCAATGGCATGTTCAGGATATGGTGATATCGCATCAATAATACGGTAATGTATGAATATGGCAATATCATATCAATAAAGGAAAAACAAGTAAAAATCACAGAAAATGTCATTTATTCTACCTCTACATCTGTCTCTTATACACATCTAGATGTGTATAAGAGACAGGTGTAATGCATTGATTTACCGCAACGTTACTAAGGACAGGTGAAATGCATTCTGGCGCCCGTGGTCCGCCCCGTGATGTTTCCATACAAGCATTTGGGAAGTTGCCTTCTGCTGTCAAGCCTGACATCTTCATAAGTGGTTCCATCACTGTCTCTTATACACATCTAGATGTGTATAAGAGACAGCTGCAGAGCTGCACACAACTTTTCTCCTTGCTATCTGCCGGGTAACTGAAGATATACAAGTTTGAACCTATCGCCCGTACGGCATTCGGGCCAAATCAGCAATCGCGGCCAACGTGTTAACCAACTCAGCCAGTTGCTAGAACAATGGATAAATTTTCATTAATTCTGCAGGATGTGTACATTATATATGAATGATAATTAAATTCTGTACAGAATTGCATTGACGCAAACTGCAAAGGAAGCTCAGAGCAGGAAGTTAGAGATTGTTTCAGCTGAATGCCAAAATGTGCAATGTCCTAACCAGACAGCTAGCAGGAACTTTGTAAAGGGCCTTCTAGACGCTCAATATTATTGCGCAATATGGTTTGCACAATATATTGATGGCAGCTCCTAGATGCTCAATATTATTGTTCAATATTTTGGGTTGTGCAATATTACTGAGCATGTAGGGGCCATATTGATGGGTTGCGCAATATATTGTGCAATTACGCCCCTAGACGTGCAACCGTACTGCACAAAAAGTGCCAGCCAGACTTTCATGTAGCCAACATGTTGAACGATAAACTCCAATACCGAGCATATGTCACAACGAATCTTGTGGACTGTGAGGACTTGCAGGCGGGAATAGTCACGAGTGGATCGTGGAGGGAAGTTGTCAATGAGATAACACCACTCCAGCCAAACATCACATCCAGAAATGCAATTAACAAAGCTTAATTAGTTAGAGACAACAATTCAAATTCCTTCAATAATGAAGGCCAAGTTTCATGGCAATGGAAAATAGCAGGCCCAAGTGTTTCAACAAATAATTAAATTGAAAACAATAATTGTCTCCAGTAAGTTCAAATTATGTAGGAAATAAATTTATGTTGAAAATTATGATATACAAAGCTTTGGGAGAGAACTAATAAATTAAACAACTTACAGGATGATTACTGGTTTCATTATAATCCTCGTCCTGAATATCCTTATAATCCTCCTGGACGTCCATTGTGCTTACTGCCGCAGTAAGCGTTTCTTGACTCACAAGGAACCTCATCTCCTCAAAATATCAGAGGGAAGGTTCTACGTCCTGTGCACCCGCGCCACTCCTCTCGGCATCACAAATCCGTTTTCTTTTCTAAAATTGGTGCGGAGACAATTTGTTTTTCTTTACCACATCTTGCTTCTCAGCCTGATGGAATCTTTCCCTGTGCTTCTCAGTCAGTATATATACATTGTACTGTTCAAGCTTCTTAGCATGATTCGCGTAGTCTTGGCATGTGACATCCCATAGAGCTGGGAGACCCCGATATACCTTGATGAATTCCAGCATAAATTCTTTATCAGCTTTCCTAACATCTGCCATGATGTAAACCACGTTGCTAAAATGACGTGTAGATATGCGTCAAACTGCTCCATACGACCACTGGGGACACACTGACAAAACATCACGCAATATAGCCCCTACACGGCACAATATCTTCCAGTTTGCGCAATATATTTTCAAGATTCCGAAAATCACGCAATATATTGCGCAGCCCGTCAATATCGCCCCTAGACGGTCAATAATATTGTGCAAATCTAAATATTGCGCAATAATATTGTGCGTCTAGAGGCTGCTTAAGCAAAA